AAAGCCCTCCTAACCCTGCCTTCACATGACTGGTTCCTTTTTATTCAGGTCTGAAGTTTCGTCTCCCCAAAGAGAACTATCCTGACCATCCTACCTAGCAGCATGTGAGTAGTGCCACTCTATATCATATTTTCACTTTTCCCCTATTTTAATAACCCCTAATCACCATTGTCTGCACATGCACACACACACATACATATATACACAATTTATACTCCACCTTTCATCTCTATACTTCCTCACATGTGCACAGAAACACACACATAAGTGTCCTGTAAACAAGAATCTTTTCTGTCTTTTTCATGACTGCTTCCTTATAGCCTTGAAGAACTCCTGAAATAACACAGGAAAATTCAGTAAATAATTGTTGAGTAAATACATATGTTTTTTTGGGGGGGAAGGAACATTTGACAAGCAGTAGTGAACTTTCCTGGAAGAAAACTCTGCAGAGGCATTTGAATTTAGACAACTTCATCACATAAAGAAATTAACTAGATTGTTCTAACAGGAAGGGTACAAACACTTCAAGCTTTACATTTAAAAAATTTTTTTTAATTTATGTTTTAATTGGAGATGGGATAGGGAGAGATTTGTTAAAGAACACAACATTACAGCTAGATAGGAGAAGCAAGTTCCAGGATTTTATCACACCGTAGGATAAAGCAGGATTTATATTTAAATAGAAAATCACACAGGGCATATGCCAACTCACCTCTGCTGCCTTCCCCAAGACTGGGAAACAGAACAGATGTTATGGGTTCTAGAGAGGCAAAGCCCAGAACCTGCCCAAACACAGTGGCCTTGAGGTGGAAGATCCTCATACTGGAATTGTGTTGGTGCCTGTGTGGACTGAGCACTCAGTTCTGACCCTTGGGAGCTTTTTGAAGACCCTCTTGAACAAGTTGACCTAAAGGAACTGACTGACCACTTGGCTGCCATCCAAACGAATGACACAGTCAAGACTTTTTATAAGCCAAATGAGTAGCCAGAGCCCAACTGACTGATTGGATTGGTCACCAAACTTGGCTTAGGGGGCCTCAATCTAGACCTAACATGACTTAAACACACACACACACACCATTTATTAAACTGAGTATCACATAACAAGTAATAGATGCTACAATAATAATAGCCCACATGGGTGTTCCCCCGTGCTTCATCCTAGCTTCTCTCTACTTACTGTCCAGTGAATTCTGGAGTCACATAAGTAGCTATAATAGCCCTGAAAAGGGAGTGGACAAGAAGTAACTGAAATGTGAACAGAAAGATATTATAATCCAAGAATCCAGAAAACTTTAGATAATTTAAATTTAGCTCCAATTGCTAAAGACTTCCTATTCACCCATGGTAGAAACCTGAAAATGAATAAAATATGCAAATAGAACTTTCCTCTTGCCATAAAACTTGCATGCTTTCCATGTCTTCAAGGGAAAGGAGTGGCTGGACAGGGAGGAGGAGGGAGCAGGGGTGGGGGGAGGCAGAATGGGCTATTCCATTTAGCTGGTCAGCCTTGACTAGTTCATGGTCTACACCTCTGTCTCATAATTCAGAAGATTTTTCTGGATCACACAGGACACTCCCTTCACTCTCTAGATTCAGTGATTCCCATGATGAGATATTCAAGAAAACAATTCCTTCTTGGATACTGAGACATTGCGCCTTGGGGGAGATATGCACCTTAGGGGAAAAAAAATGAACGATGAAAGAAGCTGGGGATTTGGGGGGAATACAGAGTAGAAGCTGACTATCTGGTGAAGGTTGATTAGAAGATACTGGGGCCCAAGGAGGAGCTGAATAAGAGCTGAGGAGAAAGACCTGATCTTGCAGGATTAGGAAAGGAAAGTGTTTTTAAACATAGTGATTTTGAATCTGAAAAAAAATCTATTTCTCAGACTACTGGGAGGCCTGAAAGGCTCTGCTGTGTAGCAACATAAAAGGGAATGAACTTAATTTGAACAGATGAAGGTTCTGGCATCACCTCTCCACTCTTTAATCAAGTGAACCTGGAGAAGTCACTTAACCTCTGAACTTTAGATTCTTCCTCTGTAAAAAGGAGACAACAGTATCTGTTGCTCACTGCCTTGATGAGGGTGCATCAGGATCAACTAAGAGGAAAGGAAGCAGATTGCTCTATGCTAGAGCATGCAGATAGAGTCGGACTGTTGTGCTTAAATTTCATCTTCACACCTTACTGGCTATGTGATCTTAAGCAAATGATTTCACCTGTAGAAAGCTTATGTATGTGATCATCTGCAAAATGGGCAGTAACCCCCTAGGTTACTGTGATGATAAAATTTGTAAAATCCATGAAAGATATACACAATGTTTAGTGTACAGTAAGCACATAGAAACTGTTCACTATTACAGTAATTGAAAAACAATGACTTGATATGCTAAGCATTAAATAGGGGCCAGGGGGATCTCTTGGCAAAATAGACAAAGTAATTCAAAGTTCAGGATGAACAGTCTTGGTACTGAACTATGAACTATGAATTACTTTGTCTATTTCTCTAAGACATGAGACTGTGCTGTGAACATGATAGCTTATACAAAGTCTAATCTTCAAGCTTTAGATACAGAAAATTATCATGTTTTGGGGTATCCTCTTTTAAACAGAGAGTTAGAGCCAGAAGTACCAATCCAAAAATTGATTTTTCCCATCATCCACCAAGGATCATCTACCTGCAGGGAATCTGTCCAGTGCACACTGCTATCTACAGATGCTAGACAAGAGTCTCTCCTTGTCTTCTAAAGAGTTCTATAAAGACCCTACAATAAGGGAACAAAACAATACAGCATGTTTAGTGACAATACCGGAAAAGCACCTATTATTAAGATTCCACAGCCTGGCTGCCTTAGACCTGGTCAGTTCCCTATGAGCAGAGAGGTGTTCCATCTACGTGTCAATCATGACCTAGATGGGTCTGGGGTAATGGCAAGGAAAAGTTCTAACACAAGGTGCTGGGTGAAATATTAATTCAATCTTCTATTTTTGCCAGGAAGGAATGTGCCAGAAGAGATCTGGATATACAGTTTGTCCTCTGGGGACCTCTGGCTTAATCTTCAAAAAACTTTCTTTTAGACACCACCTGCATTGATTCCCACAATTCACAACACTCTCCATGGCTTTCTGTGGCCTTGCAGCCAACTCTTCCATTTTTAGATCTGTATTTTGGAAGAAAGAATCCTTCTGAATCTCAGTCTCTTCCTTTATAAACAGAAATAATTTCATTCTGCATAGCTCACAATTAGCAGGCTTGTGAGAAGTTAAACTGTGAAACTCAGCACAAATGAAAAGCAGTGTGCCACTGTTGCTCACAGGAAAGCTTCTGAAAAGCTATCAGGCACCACACACATACAGCTGAATTCCCACTTAGTATAAGTCCAGCCAAGATTAGAGGGGGTGCGGGGTGGAGAGGGAGAGCTCCGATGGTTGGTCTCCTGGCTGTGGAGAAGCTGGCTTGGCACCATGTCAGGAACTAGACCAGCAGGTACTCCATGCTTCCTTCTTAACCCCATGAACCTCACTTTGACATCCATCCTAGTTTTCTTTTACTGCCTTCCTCTAGTCAGCTTGCCATCTCCAATTCCACCACCATATTTCTGAGATTTTCTCACTTTACTCCCCATCTCCAGAACTTTCCCTTCTCGTCTACCTTTCAGAGCATTCAAACATGGAATTTGCTCACCCCTACCCTTCACTATCCCTGAGCTCAGAGTTGCTGAGGAGGAGATGCATCCTCATAAGAGGCTTCTCCTTAGACCAGAATGAAGAGTTAGCAATAATGATAATAACAACAATAAATTTCCTCCAACTGGCTCAGATCATTAGACTCAGGCACACATATTATCTCTACCTCTGGTCTTTCTGGCCTGGTTGTGCCTCAATAAATTACAGTGCTGTGTCTTGGTGGCTATGTCACGTCCTAAACTGAAATCCTCTCTAAGAAGATTCACTCTGAGCCCAGTATATCTCACTGCATCTAAAAGAGAAAATTCCAGACCCTCCTTCCACGTCTTTGATATCAAACCCAATACACGACCACTTTATTATGGCTAACCTATCTACCTACTGCTGACTCTAACAGCCTAGAGTTTCTGGCCTAAACTCTAATGTCTGATCTGAGGCACAAAATTCTAGTTCAGGCTGTCAGTCCCTGGCAGGTGGGGTCAGTTTTCATCACCTTGCGTGCAGATTTCCAAGATAACTGTGAGACTGCTTAAAGAGAATTCATTACAGGACACACATGAGAGAGAAAAATGTCCTGACTTTGAGGAAGAGGAGGAATGTGGTATTGAGCTTCCTCAAATGTTTTGGGAAAACTTCAACCTAACCCTCATCTCCTCCTGCTTTGAAACACTCCCCATCCATAAGCCTTGGTAGGAAAGACAGCCAGCTGGAAGCCCAGACTCCCAAGGTTTGTTTGATGTGTCTCCATTCTCATTACCTCTTAATGTTGGAATTTTGGTTCCCCAAAGCCTTGGATTTGACCTTCCTGCCCAGTTTAGACTGCAGAGAAGGATCTTCATGCTCATTATGAGCCTTAGATAAGATTTTCTTCTATGGGGGCTCCAGGGTACCAAAAAGCCAAGATTGCCACCAATACCAGCCCTTCCTTAAAGTAAGTTAAGTGAATCCCCAATAAGTCAGAGGAGTTCTAAAAGCCCAGGCCATTCTCTCTCATCCTGACCCTCATCTCCTCAGCCTAAGAAAGGCCAGCTGTGCTATGGCTTGGCTTCTGGTTTCCCCATCCCAGCATCCTTTCAGAAAACAGCCGGTTTCCCTCTCGAGCTTCACAAGGTAAGTTTCCTTATCACCTGTGAATCACAAATTCACAGTGCAGCCAAACATAGCAGAGCTGATGCAAGACCCTGGGAAGGGGAAAGCTGCAGGTGTGTTTGTGCTGGGAGGAGCAGTGACCCTCCACCCCACAGACACCTCTTCTCCCTCACCTCGGGAGGTATAAAGATGGTTTTCCACCACTGACTCGATCACACTTCCAGCGCCATGAATTCACTCCTGATCCTCGCCTTGGTGGGAGCCGCTGGTGAGTTCCAGGCCTGCCTCTGGCCCCACCCACCCCCTTCCCTGGCAGACATGCGCCCTTACTGCCTTGCTGCCTCTCCTATTTGACCTGGGTTCTGATATTCTATTTCTCTGGTCTAACATCCTTCCTTCCCATCCTCCTTGAGCTCTCTTTAAGCCTCCCTTCTGTACCCCCTCTCTCCCCTCTTCATTCCCACCACCGTCATCCACCCATACTGGTGCTGTGATCAGAGAAGTTAGGAAATGAGGCCAAGTGGGGCTGGCCCATGAAATGCAGCAGCAGGCTCTAGGCTTGGCTCTGACAGCTCAGGGATAACTGCTGTAGCTGCTCTTAACCCTGAATACACCTCAGGAGTTTGAAAAAATACTCATGTCAAAGACTTACCCTAAAAATTCTGACTTCATTTATCTGGGGTGCAGCCTGTGTGGTGTTGTTGTTTTGTTTTGTTTTGTTTTCTCTGTTGGAGTCTCTCTTTGTTGCCCCGGCTAGAGTGCAGTGGCATCATCACAGTGACTGCAACCTCGACATCCTGGGCTCAGGTGATCCTTCCACCTCAGCCTCCTGAGTAACTGGAACTACGGGCATGCTCCACTGTGCCCAGCTAATTGTTTAATTTTGTGTAGAGATGAGATCTCAGCATGTTGTCCAGGCTGTCTTGAAATTTGGGGCTCAGTCAATTTTCTCGCCTCAGTCTCTCAAAGTGCTGGGATTATAGGTGTAAGTCACCATGCCTGGCCTATGCAGTATTGTTTTGTTGGGTTTTTTTAAATCTTCCCAGGTGATTTTAACATCTTCAGGTATGCAGCCAAGGTTAAGAATCACTATTCTATTAATAGGCTAATACTTTTGTCCCACCTAAGTGGGTCTGGGGGCTACCCTCCACTCTGGCCTTGCTGAGCTACAGGAGAAGCTAAGTATGGCAAGGAGATTTTCCTAGCTAGGCCAAACCACCCTGACAATCCATTCTCAAATAGCTATGGGGAACAGCCCAGTGAGAATAAGAGAGAGAAGCACCCAGTGGTTGGGACAAACACATTCCAACTCCCATCCCACTGAGAGCATGTGAGGGCATTCCTTGTGTCCTCACCCTGGGGCTCCCAGGAGAGGTCTGACCCCATGCAGGGCACCTGGCTATGTGTCCTGCAGACACACAGAACCTCAGGGACCACATCCAGTGATGCCCACTGGGGACTGCAGGGTTTCCTCCCTTGTCTAGCATCATGGAGCTTGTCAACGAACCCCAATTATCATGAACCAGCCCCAGAGCAGAGAGCTCCACCCCCGACATGCTGCTGACTTGGCTTCTTTCTTCCCGTCTCCACTCAAGTTGCTTTCCCCTTTGACGAAGATGACAAGATCGTCGGGGGCTACACCTGTGAGGAGAATTCCGTACCCTACCAGGTGTCCCTGAACTCTGGCTACCACTTCTGTGGTGGTTCCCTCATCAATGACCAGTGGGTGGTGTCAGCAGCTCACTGCTACAAGTCGTAAGTGCTGGACCCCTGATTGCAAAGCTCACAGCCTAGGCTCCCTCGGAGGGCTTGGGCTCAACCCAGGGGAGTGCTGAGACTAAGATGGATGGGAAAGGTGATGGAGAAGAGAAAATGCTGAGGGTAGCAGACTCGCAGGAACTGAGGGTGAAGAGGGCACACAGTGGGTACCTCTTCCACCCAAATCCATAGCACAGCAAGCACTGTGCTCATATAAACATGGAGGGATGGCCTGGGTTGATAAGGACCAGTGAGAAAGGCATGCAAGGATCTCACACAAATGCCTTTTGCCAGTCAGCTACACATTAGAACCTAAGAAAGTTAGCAAAAATACTGGTGCCTGGCTCCTATTCCAGGGTAATTAACTTAGAATTTTTCAGGAGAAGAGATGTGAATATTGGTGAGTTTTTAACACTACCTCTGGTAACTCTACTGTATAGACGGGACTGAGAGCCACTTTCCACACCAAAAATTCTCAAAGCCAAGTGTGCATTAGAGCAACCTGGAGAGCTTGTTAAGGCACGTATTTGCGAGTCCCATCCCCAAGGTTCTAATGCATTAGGTCTGGGATAGAGACAAAGAAATTTTCTTTCTTTCTTTCTTTCTTTCTTTCTTTCTTTCTTTCTTTCTTTCTTTCTTTCTTTCTTTCTTTCTTTCTTCTTCTTTCTCTCTCTCTCTCTCTCTCTCTCTCTCTCTCTCTCTCTCTCTCTCTCTTTCTTTCTTTCTTGTCAGAGTCTCACTCTGTTGCCCAGGCTACAGAGAAGGATCTTCATGCTCATTATGAGCCTTAGATAACACTTCTTTCCTTCTATGGGGGCTCCAGGATTCCAAAAAGCCAAGATTGTTTGGCACGCTCCTGGCCACCACAGCCTTGAACTGCTGGACTCAGGCGATCCTTCTGCCTTAGCCTTCTAAGTAGCTCAAACTACAGACATGCGCCATCATGCCTGGCTAATTTTTCTTGATTTATTGTAGAGATGAGATCTTGCCAAGTTGCTCAGACTGGTCTCGAATTCGTGGGTTCAGGCAATCCTTTTACCTCGATCTTCCAAAGTGCTGGGATTATAGGCATGAGCCACCACACCCTGCCAAGAATTTATATTTCTAACAAGTTACCGAGTAATGCTGGTGCTGCATGTCCTGGAGCCACACTTTGAGAGCCACTGGATTAAGTCACACAGAAGGATGGTGCTTACTGGCAAAGGAGGGAGAGAGGGAGGGACAGTCACTGTGTGTAGTTAGCAAAGGAGGAGGAAGGCTGCTTGGAAGTCTTCCAGTAGCTCCTCTGTACCCAAAGTACTGGATGCATGTGGGGGATGTGGGAAAGAAGGCTGAATAGGCAAGTTGAGGAGGGGTCCCCAGGGGCATCCCTTTGTCTCGTTCCCACCCCACTGCCCATCTCTGAAGCAGAAAGGTCATGGGTCTCGCCCCTGCACTGCCCACAACCCCTCTACTGCTTACCCCATGCCTCCAGAGTCACCCATGAGTGAGGAGCTTGAGGACCCTGGGAAAGTGGGGTGGGTGCCCAGGCTATGAAGAGAAACCCTTCATTGTGCTCCCCTGCCCATCAGCCGCATACAGGTGAGGCTGGGCGAGCACGACATCGAGGTCCTGGAGGGAAATGAGCAGTTCATCAACTCGGCCAAGGTCATCCGCCACCCTGGCTACAACAGCTGGACCCTGGACAATGACATCATGCTGATCAAGCTCTCCTCGCCTGCGGTCATCAACGCCCGGGTGTCTGCCATAGCTCTGCCCACTGACTGTGCACCTGCTGGCACCCAGTGCCTCATTTCGGGCTGGGGCAACACCCTGAGCAATGGTGGTAAGTGAGACCCTTTGCCCTCCTATTTTCCTGTCTTCACACTTTCACAAATGAAGCATGCCCTGAACTTGAACTCTGTTGCTTCCAGGCTGCAAGCACATTTCTAGTACCCACCAACACAAGGCTCTGTATTGGATACCAGTACAGAGATGCAAGGTTTCTAAGAGTTGCTTCCTAGAGTCAAGAGACAGGACGAATAGAGCACTTGCTATGATCATGTCCTGGAAGGGGTTCAGCAATGATCACTGTGGGAACTGAAAGCCATTGCTTTTTGTTAGGGTTTACATTCCCAGGGTCCTCTCCAGTGGCAGCCCTGTGTTCCGCACTAGCTTATTGTCCCCCATTTGGCCTGACCTACATTTCTGCTTTTCTTGATCTCTTCCTGCTCCTCAAAGTCAACTACCCAGACCTGCTGCAGTGCCTGAATGCACCCCTGCTCAGTCAGGCTGAGTGTGAAGCTTCCTACCCCGGGCAGATTACCGAGAACATGGTCTGCGCTGGCTTCCTTGAGGGAGGCAAGGATTCCTGCCAGGTGATTTGACCCCTTCCCATCCTGAGACCACTGCCCACACCCAGGCCCCATCTGGGAGTGGGATTTGAATGCCTAAGGTTGTGGGATTGAAAAGCCTCCATGCAGGGGCCCTGTGAAGTGAGAAAGGGTGGCTGGGCTGCATGTCGTCTCCTTAGTAAGAACAGAGAGTGGGCGACCATGAGCAGGATATGGAGCCATACAGCTGGCTGGAAAGAGGTCTTTTAAGGTTCAGAGGAAATGGAGCTATGTTCCTTCTCCATCTCCCTCCTTATACAACCTGCCCGTCCTTCTCCCCAGGGTGACTCTGGCGGCCCCGTGGTCTGCAATGGAGAACTCCAGGGAGTCGTCTCCTGGGGCTATGGCTGTGCCCAGAAGAACAAGCCTGGAGTCTACACCAAGGTGTGCAACTTCGTGAACTGGATTGAGGAAACCATAGCCGCCAACAACTAAAGACTCACTCCCCCAGCTCCTCTGTGGTCACTATGCCAATAAAGCAGTGACTTTGCTCTCACTGCTGTTGTCTGTGCTTGCTTCTTCCAGTTCCCTCACTCTGGAAAACCTCTTCCAATATGAGGTTAGACAGGGCGCTCCCTCTTACACATGAATGAACTCCCAGTTCCCAAAATATGTGCCATGGTATACGAGATTAATAATAAGATACAAAGAGATGGAATTCAAAATAATAATGATAATAAAAAGAAGAGGGCAAGGGAGACTGTTTTCTAGAGAAAAAATACATTTCAGAAAGGTGGCCGTAAGGTTTCTTGAGCTCTCTTGACCTTGGCACTTCCATGGGTTTTGAATGTGCTAATGTGTGCACATACTGGTGTGGTTTGTACCAACTTATGACACCATTGACTACATGGGGTCCTCTTTGTACCCAGAGCAAACACATGGAGGGAGACCCCAGCACTGATTGCCTTGGCAGCCTCTGAGTTCCCTTTCTCATATGCTCTTGCTAACCCAGTTTGTTCTCCTACCTAGCAGCAGATGCTTACTTAGAGAGGTCCTACCGAGAGAAGATCCTATTTTTAAGAAGTCCTACTGAAAGAAGGTTCCACTTAGACAAGGTCCTATTAGGAGGTTTTACTTCCAGAAAGTTTGACTCATAGAAGATCCTAATTAGAGAAGGTCCGACTGAGAGAAAGTCCCACTTAGAGACAGCCCCACAGACCCTGTTCCAACAACCTGCTCGTGTGTCTGAAGGGAAGAAGAAAAAACCTCAGGTCTCCATACCTCATGCTCCCGAGTAGTCTGCCTTCTTTTCATCCCACACAATCATGCCAATATGTATACCCATCCCTAGAGCTCTACAGACATTTCACATCTAGTTTTCTTTCCACTCTGGAGTGATTATTACTCCAGCGGCACAGATAAGAAAGCAGGTTCAAAGGAGCTTGTTAGTTTACCCACATTTCACACCCAGCAGATGGTAGATCTGGGCTTTGACTCCTTGTTTGCCTGGCTCTAAAGCCTGTGCTGTACCTACCCCGCTGCTCATCCTGCTACAACTATGGTCTGAGGCGAGAACAAGTCCATCAACTCTGATTTACAACGTCTCTCCAGCACACTGTTCCCAACACCTCCTCCCTGCACCTTCTGGGGGGGGGCTTCTCCCACCTGTTTCTTTCCAGATGGCATGACTGATCTTAGGGAGCCTCATCCCATTGCATCTTTCCTGACCTCCCACAGCATTCAAAGTGGGATCCAGGCTCTTCCTGGAAATGGAGGGGTCCCCTTGCTCTGCCTCTACCTACACGTCCTATCTCATGCCTCTCCACTCCTTTCCTCTCCTCCACTGCTCAGAAGTCCTTGCAGTCCTTCCAAGGAGCCACATACCTCTGGCCTCTACTTCTGGACACTCTGGTGCCCTCACACTGATGCTCTTCCCAACCTCCCTTTCACCCTCTTCAGAAAATCTTCCCTGGCTCTTCCTCCTCCCTGCATGCCTGTGCTGGTCCTACTGACCCTCAGGTCTGAGACAAGAGAGTCCTCCTTAGTTCTGGCATGATCCTGCTCTGGCTTTTTAGGAATGATGGTGTGTCCATCCTGGCCTCCGACTGGGAGCTCCTTGAGGAAGGAAATCTTATATTCCTCATCCTGGTTCCTCCAGAGATTAAGCAAAGCCTGGAAATAATAAGCACTCAGTGATTGAAGGAGTCAAATGTGAAGTAGGAATGAAGAGAAACGTGCTGAGAAAATAAAGAACTTTCCAGAAGAATGGTTCTCAAAGAGCAGTCCCTGGACAGGTGGTACCAGAACCACTTGGGAATTTAGGAGAAATGCAAATGCTGGGCTCTACCCCAGACCTACTGAGTCAGAAATTCTGGGACAGGACCCAGCAAGCTGCATTTCAACATGTCTTCCAGGTCTTCTGATACACACCGCAGCTTGAGAACCATCGTGGTAGAGATGGCCCAAGGCTAATAACTCTGTGAAAATAATAGACACTAACATTTTGACTAATTCTGTTGAGGAATCATGATACATTTTTACATATACTATCTTATGGAGTTCTCACAGCCACCCCATCAAGTAAGTATTGCTATCATCATCATCATCGTCATTATTATTCTTCCCATTTTACAGATAAGGAGACAGAGAGTTTGGTTGAGTAACCTGTCCAAGGTTTCAAAGCCATGAGCAGAGAGCCTGGGAGGAGCCCTGGACAGGCTAGCTCCAGGAGGCGGGCTCCACTGAGGGGCAGGGGCTCAGCCAGGCGTTGTGGCACCTACGGGAGCCCGAGAATTTAAGGGAGGTATCTTGGGTGGTGGTTTCAGCTCTGCCTCTTCATCACTGGGCAACTCTTTCGTCTCTTCCAGTTTCACTTCCTCAACTGAAAACATTGAGAGAGAAAATGTAGGTTGAAATGTCAATTGACATCCTTGACAGGTTTCAAAAACTTAACATGTATCAAATGTCCTTTGCGTGTCTCCCTATCTCTCACCCAGCCCCCACACACACCTTGAGAAAAGCACAAGCTAACCGGGTCTCCCCTCCTCACCCCACCGACGCTGGGCGTTCTTCTCACCCCCTCAGGCAGCCAAACTCAGATTGCAGGGACTTGGGTCTAAAAACTAAGGAAAGGCTGCCCTCTGCTGCTTACATGGATGAATGACCCCAATTTGATACTTGCCTAGCTAATTCTATGCTCCTTTTAATAAAGAAAATTCTGCCTGTGTGTTTGGACCTGCTGTCCAGAGCGACAAAACCGGGACAAACTCTATCAGGATTAAAAGAAACTACAACGTCAAGACAGAGTGGCATTATATTTGGATGAAGTCCAGTCTGGATGAAGGCCCCCAGGGAGGCGAATAAAAGGAAGCTAACTTAGAGGGTAAATTACTGATTTTAAATTACTGATTTCTTGAGTGAAAAACACAAGAAAACATGCGGAAATAAATCAAAGTAAACTGTGTGCCTCAATTAGGAAAGGTAATGAGGACGAGGTCCGGACACAATCCAATGGATGAAAGAAATCGCCCTTTTATGCCGGCATCTGGTGAAGTATTGTGAGGCCTGTCACTATTAATGAGGTAGATCAATGAGGTAGGAGACTGTCTCGCCTTTTTCTTTCTTCCCTAAATTCTAAGAGCTGTGCCCTGGTACCCAGCTATGACACCCCTAGATTTCCCTCATGATCTCCCCGGCCTGCCCCTCCCTGGCTCTAGTCAGGAGACAAATTGTGTGTCCAAGTCCTGGTACCATAATAGAAGCACCCAGGGTGATTTTCTGTTTGGTTGTTTATTTAAATATACATTCGTAAATCCAATCCTAGAAATTTTCACTTGATAGGTCATGGAGACTACTCAGAAATTGGAATTTTTCACAAGCTCCTTAAGTGATTGGGGTCCCACAGAGAAAATTCAGGATTGTGACACAACTTCTTACATAAATTGATCTTTGGAAAAAAATAATGATTTTGTAGATTCAACGAGTAGTTCTTTTTAGGTAGCAAATGTTCAAATATTATTTTAAGCAGTATTTGGGTTTCTTAAAATTTTATTAATTTAGTCTTGATTGTAAATAGATTATATAGCTATATGGCCACAATGGAAACAACCCAATGAAGTTGACACAAAGAATTATAACTTTTTTTTTTACTAGGGTCTGGATCTGTTGTCCAGGCTATCCTGCAGTGGCAAAATCATGGTTCACTGAAGCCTCACCTCCTGGGTTCAGGCAATCCTTCTACCTCAGCCTTCCAAGTAGTTGGAATTACTTGCCAGCTACCATACCTGGCTAATTTTTTTTTTTTTTTATTTTGTGGAAGTGAGGTCTCGCTATGTTGCCTAGACTGATCTTGAACTCCAAGGCTCAGGCAATCCTCTCGCCTAAGCCTCCCAAAGTGTTGGGATTACTAGCATGAGCCATGTGCCTGACCCCGTAACTTTACTTTCACTCTGTTTCTGTCTACTTCACTCATTCTTAATAGGTCCTCACCTTTGTCAGTTTATTTTGTGTATTTCAGTGTTTCTGTAAACAGATCCAAGTAAAGAGAAGTATAATTCACATCCTCCTCTTCTGTTAGCCAAAGGTAGCTTATAGTTATGTCATTTCCCTTCTTGCTCCTTTCCAATTAGTAATATATCTTAGCTTTCTATGGCAATACAAATATTGTCATTTTTTTCTTTTTTGGCATTTAACATTATTCCACTGTGTGAACATACCACAGTTTATTTATTCAGTTCCTTAGTGATGAACACTTGAGTTTTTGCCAATCTTTTGCCATTCTAATTGGTGCAAATATTTCACACACATTTTTTATTTGTATACAAGAGTATTTACAGGATAAATTCTCCCACATGGGATTTCTGGGTGAAAATGCAAATGCATTTGTGATTTTTATAGATGTTTCCAAATTGCTCCCTATTACGGTTATAGCATTTTGCATTCTCACCAGCCATCAAGGTGTAAAAGTGCTTATTTCATTAAAACTTGCCAGTAGAATGGTCCTCCAGAATTCAATTTTGTTAATTAAATCATGAAAAGTAGTATTCTGATGTAGTTTTACTAAATTTACATATATCATTGTGAGTTTTTTTTTCCAAATGATAGTTAAGTATCATTTGGATTTCTTTTTCTCTGAACTATCTGCTCTTTGCCTATTTTTATTAGGCTGCTGGATTATTTTGGTATTGATTTCTAGGAGTTCATCATATACATGGGAGATTACCCCTTCTGGTGAGAATTGCAAGTATTTTTCCCATATTGTTATTTTTTATTCTGTTTATAGTTTACCATACAAATGTGTCATCCTTATATAGTCAAGTTTGTCTTCTTTTCCTTCTTCTGAATTTTAAGTCATAGCTTGAAAGGCAATCAAAGGACACACCATCTAGTGATATGATGTCTAGATCACTCAAGGGCAGGTTAAATTTCAGGGTCACCTTGTACAAGGAAAAACTATCTACTAACAACTTAGAGTCTCTGTGCTCTTCAGAGAAGAGAGAGTGATTACTCACCTGCCCTTGCAATTATATTTTAGTTTTTTCAGACTGTCTCTATATATCCAGCCTTCACCTTCAGTTCCCTCAATTTCCTTTACTTAGCCCCCATCTCTGAGGCCAACAAGAAGGGTCAGGAGAGTTGACAACACATGTGGTCTTCAGCTTCCCACACCTGTTCCTGGAAATCTGGCCAACCTCTCAGCTATCATTTTGTTTATGTCTAGAGCAGCCCTCACTCTTTGTAGCTTGTAGTTGATTCTCCAAAAGACTCCAGACCCCAGCTGACCATCCTTGGGGTTGAGTTAGCCTGAGGAACAGAGTCTGGGTACTGAGGTATCTCATTCTCAAATGAAAGGTGAGACCTCTGAGTGGCATACAGTCTGAGGGCAGGGACAGGGTAGACAAGGGGCTGGAGCTTCTCAACAGGGAGGTCCCCATTATGACAACAGCCTGGAGAGGGGTGGATGCTGGGGAAGACCAGCCCCTTCAGCAAGCAACCTCACAAATACACACAACTTGAAGAACTCAGAATGTCCTGAAGACAGGAAGGCATCAGGGTGAGGAGGGAGCCCTCTGGTTTCGTCCATACCCTATCACCACTTTGCACAGTGAGGGGTGATGTCACCTGCCCTTCCAGTCCCCCCAGAGGAACAGCTGCCCTAGTGGTTTCTTCTGGGGTCTGGGGGTGGGCCTATGGGAGGGGCCGTTTTTGTACAAAGCTGAAACATTGTGGGGACAGGGGGCCACTGTGATTCAACTGTATGGGAAACCTTTACAAAAACCTTTCTTCCTGTCCCAATACCCACAGTCCCTCTATACTTTACTCCTGGGTCATAGGCCCCAGTGCCATTTGGTTTAGTGCACTTCCACCTCATCCCTGACCATATGTCAGACAAAGGCCATAGACAAGGACAGGTCACATCAGAACCCACGCTTCCCCGGCAGAGAGAACCCAGACGTGAGAAAAACACCTCAGTGGCCTCACAGGTGCAGAACTCAGGGAGAGTCTCCATCCCTACAAAACCTGGACAAGGTCAGGGAGGAGGTACATCAGAAGTGACCAGCTCTACAGAGTCCTCCAGAAGAAGTCAGGGGTTTCGATGGATAGAGTCACAGCTTCTAAGACCCTACTCTCCTCTCTAAGCTTGCATCCTTTGGGCGAACTCTCAGAGAAGGAATATTTGCACAGGGCATCCTTCAAGAAAGGAGTCTAGAGCCCTCTGGGGGGACTCTACCATGCTCCATGGTCCCCAAAATCAAAGTCAAATATATTCTTCCATGTAGTACCTGTAAAACACAGGAGGAGGCTTCTTATCTCAGTGTCCTGCAGACCTTAGCCAGGGCTCCTTCTTCTCTCCGCGTCTGCAATTTGAATTCCTTCTTGACTCATGGCACTGTGTGAACACTGAAGTTTTCTTCGGAGGAGGCTCCAGGCTCACAGTTGTAGGTAAGATATTTTCTAGATTCCTAAAAGGGAAAAGTGGGTCCAAAGTGTCCCTTTTAGAGTGGCTGTATTCTGATGTGCTAACTATGACTACACCTTCGGCTCAGGGACCAGGCTAACGGTTGTCGGTAAGGCTGGGGGTCTCTAGGTGGGGTGCAATGAGGAAGAACTTTGTCCTGGGAAACCCAAAGAAAACAGAGGTCTGGGTGAGGGAGCAGACGTCAACTCATGCCTGGGATTGAGTTAAGGAGAGGGTTCCTGTGAGGGTGAATTCGCCTGGGCCACCCAGAAGCTCTCGGCAGAGTCAGAGCTGAGCCCGGGAGAACAGGGCAGGAAGGGGAGGAGAGGGCCCTGCCTCTCCAAATAGCTGAGAGAAAGGAGCTGAGATAGGGGAGTGGAGAGAAAGCCTGGGCTTTAATTCATGAGCCGCCACAGCTGTCCATTTTATTCACTGGCATGTTTTCTGCAGGGGCTTCATATCTTCCTGCTCTGGATTTCATAGGAGGCCCCTTTGTGTCTCTTTTGCTCACCTGTCCGGTTTCTGAGCATGCTCTGGAAGAGTACACAGAGTGTTTGAAGCAGGGCTGGTGACTTTGTGAGGCAAGAAACCCACAAATGCCCAACTTCTGCTTGAGTCCCAGCGGTGCTCAGCAGGGAATAGGGGGTTTTGAAGTGGCCCCAGGAGGCTGTGTTCTGGAAGCACTCTCTCTTTTGGGAAGGGAAGCCAGCTCACTGTTGTAGGTAAGTCAAGGCTGGATGGCTGGGAACCTGGGAGGAGGGGCTGGAATCCAGATGGAGCCTTTGTCTTGAATATTTAGGTAAAAGCATATTTTTATCAGGAAAATCTGAAATTTTGTCTTGATGCAGGCAAAAAGGGGGCAGCCTCCGTCTCCAGTTTTTCATGAACAAGCTGTGCCAGGCTTGGGTTCCCCTACTAGGAGGCAAGCAGATTCAGCTAACAATGGGTCACCCTGCCCATCTCCTGTCTCCATGGAGAGCGTCCATCATGGCCATGATAGACAGGAGAGCCTCTGTTCTTACAGCTTCATGGTCCTGCCATTTTTCTCCCTCACGCAGAAGGGAAAGGGACACAGGAGAGGGAACATGGGTGATCATACAGGACCTAATTGGTCCTCTGACCACAGAGTTTTGATTGCACAACTGTCCACCCCTCCACCTCCCAGAGTTGAAATTCTTCTAAGAAATGGGAGAGGAGAGCTGGCAGGTGGACCTGGGGAGGCAGGAATGGAAGGCAACAGGTGGCAGTTTTCCTGCTGGGCTTTAATGTTGTGCAACTAATGAAAAGCTATCTTTCGGCAGTGGAACCAAGCTCTCTGTCTTAGGTATGTAAAAGGCTCCTATTGGGATAGAGTTTGTAAGGTTGGAGTCCCAGGAGGACTCCCTGGGGAGGGCAGGGATTGAGAACACAGCTGAGAAAAGGCTCGGACAATGTGGGAGAGTGGAGTGAGGGCTAGAGCTCCCAGAATTTCTGAGTGAAGGTGCTTCAGGAAGAAAGGGCCTAAACCTGCTCTCCTGGAGTTTGCCACACTCATGATGCACTGTGTAGCAACCAGGCACAGCATTTTGGAGATGGGACTCGACTCTCTGTCTTAGGTAAGGTGAAGATCCAAGGCGGTAGGGTCATTGTCCCTGGGAACCAGGGCCTCTGTTTCTCCTCCCAGTGCTGGTAGAGGGGGACTGAGTAAACTCTCTTACCCGATGGAGCTCCATGGAACTGTGTCTGCCATCTTTTTTGGTGTGGCTTGGTTGACTCCTCTGCTTCTCTTCTCTAAGTCTTCAGTCTGTAATCTGTCTCCTCACTCCTTTTCAGTTCATCCTTCTTGTGTGTATGAATTCGCCCCTCCTAAGCCTCTTCCTTTTGTCCCTCAAGCCCCATAGTATACTTAGGCCTTTTTCCTAATAGAGTTTTTAGTCCAGAGCCATGAATCCAGGCAGAGAAAGACAGCCATTCTGCTCATAGGGAGCTAAGACTGGCCCCCTGGCTGGAGGTCTTCAGGTGGGTTTTATTGAAGCCTCCTGCAGCTGTGCTCCAATAATTCTCCCCTCAACTTTGGGACTGGCACCAGGCTCACCGTGACAGGTATGGGGACCCCATTTCTGACTGGGGAGGGTGCCCATGTTTGACCACAGTGACCAGTTGCCGGGAAGGGAATTAGGTGTAAGGATAGAGGTCTGAGTCAGCCCTTCTCACCCGGAGCCCTGCGCCATCTCCTACCTTTCCCGGACCTTGTCCAGCTCTTTGTTCTTCTGTATTGGTGGCAAGTGCCCCTGCACGGAGTTTGTCTTCAGGACCTTGTGTTTTCTCACTCTTCTGCTCGTTGTCTTCTGGTACTTCTCTCATCTCTACTGTCTTAGTGGATGTATTGTGCTACTTTCCCTTTTTTTAAATTGGGTCTTCTCCATTTTTTCCTTCCCATTCTAACTCCAATTCTGCATCATTGACTCCTCTTGGTGAATAATTCTGTCTTCTGTGTTAAAAGCTTTCCCAGCATCTACCTCCAGCACAGAACTCTGTTCTTCCCTCCATCGTCCTCCTTTTTTTCTACCAGTCTTAGAAGATTCATGTTTGTCTCTGTGAGGCGGTTTAAAGGATTGGGAAGCAGTGATGACCTGGTGGCTTGAGGGCTGCTCCTGAGGCCTGAGGGAAGACGTCCTCCCATCACAGGAGCTTCAGGGGAGTCTCTGGGGTGCACTGTGCTGAGCAGGTGTTGGGAAGATAGGTCTGAAAAAACTGTGATGACTGGAAACTGTCATCATCTTAGCAACAGATAAGGTATAAGGAAGACAAAATAAGCAGGAGATCCCATTTTCTTAAACCTCAGAATCTCTACTGGGTTAATAGGTTAGGGGGCCCATCATAAAACCCTAGCACAATCCTCATCACACTTGGGAGGAAGCAGGTGGTGTTGTGGGATTGGCATAAGATGGATACACAGACAAGCTTGGAGGAAAGAGACATATAGGGTCTACCAGAACTGAGGGACTTAGGCAGACATTGTCTTGCGGGTGGGGACACACACCTAAGAGTTTAGTGGTAGTACAAATCATTAGAATCAAAGACCTGAATTCAACGTGGGGGGGATAGATCTAGGGCAGGTGGGGTGGGAGTGTGCTATTTGAAAAGTGACTTAAGTTGTCTCAGGCTAAGACATGTACAGTGGAAGGAGTTAACGTGTGTGGAAATCCTTATGTGTCAAGGATTCAACTTGTGATGATCATCCTTTTCATCCCTTTTGCTTACCAACAAGGGGGTGGTCACAGGGCTTGCCTTTATCCAAATCTAGGTCTCAATTTTCCCGTTAGAAACATTTACCAAATTTGAATGAAGGGGACACATCTGGGCTTCCCACATTTCTGCACCAACAGCTCAATCCCATGGTCAGAACAGAGATAAACAAAGAACAAAGCAAATTTTGGCAAAAAGAAGGGAGATTGAAAGATGGGCATGGTTTTTTCCACTCCTTATGTGTCCTCAGATGAGGTCATTCCTTCCAATAGTCAGAATTTCTTTCTATCCCTCTGTCAAGCATGCAAAAGGGCCCAGGGCTTTACAATGTGAGCCCTCTACTGAAAGGGCGCTCAACCATTTGCTACTTTTACACATGCAGCAATGAAGCTTTTACTGCTTTTACGAATGCAATGCTTGGTTGTGAGCTAGGATTCTAGACCTGGCCAGGGAGGGTCACTGGACACTGAAAGAAAGAAAAGGTTCAACCCATGAGCATGATTTTCCACAGAATTACAGCCATCCTAGGCAAGCCACCACATCCCCCTGTACTCCAGTGCAGGAGTAAAGGTGGGCATCAGATAGAATATTGGCCAGGGTGCTCGTCAAGGCAGTGTACATACAAAATTAAAAGTCAGATGTCATGGGAAAATTGTCTCTTCTAAGCAAGAAAAGCTAATTCTAACATTTTGTATCACCCCAAGAGACAAACACATACACCTCACAAAAAAAATAAGAAAATGAAAATTAGACAAAAAATCTATTTATTTCCTGTGCTCACGCTACTAATGAGCATCTACTACCTCAAAATTTCAGGCTCGTTCAACACTCCTACAACAGCTTCCAAGTCTAAAAGATTAGATGGGCTTTGAACGAGGAAGAAAGAAAGACACTTATACTCTTTTGATAGATGATCAGACAAGCCTCACAGTAGGAGACATTGTAAAGAAAGCCAAGACAAGCAGGACATAAAGCCAACTCAGGAAGAGGGAGAGAGAGTAGGCAGTTGTGTATCCATGGGATGACTCAAAAAGAAGCGGAGAGAGCAGCAACAGACATTAGGATAGTGACTCAAAGCAAAAAGAACCTAGTATGACATTTTGCTTCATTATGACCCTCTCCCAGATCTCTCTGTCTCACACACACACACACACACACACACACACACTCCTTCCCCCCGCCCCCCAAACAGCTCTGGTCCCAACTCCTCTCTACTTTACAGAGGACCTGAGTATTGTGACCCCACCCAAGGTCGCTGTGTTTGAGCCATCCGAAGCAGAGATCTCCCGGACCCAAAAGGCCACACTGGTGTGCCTGGCCACAGGCTTCTACCCTGACCACGTGGAGCTGAGCTGGTGGGTGAACGGGAAGGAGGTGCACAGTGGGGTCAGCACAGACCCACAGCCCTCCAAAGAGCAGCCTGCCCTCAAGAACTCCACCTACTGCCTGAGCAGCCGCCTGAGGGTCTCTGCTGAATTCTGGCACAACCCCCGTAATCACTTCCACTGCCAAGTTCAGTTCTACGGGCTCGAGGACAAAGACGAGTGGAAACTGGGTGGGAACAAACCCATCACCCAGAACGTCAGTGCTGAGACCTGGGGCAAAGCAGGTGAGCAGGACCTGGGAGGCCCCTGGGAGGGACTGAGTAAGACCCTCCACCAGAGGAAAATGGAAAGATACAGGTAGAAGACAAGTCTAGATCCAGGAGAAAGGCAGGGTGGATGGGATGGGATGATCTAGGCCCACAATGTCTGTTAGTGCTTTCTCCTATAGAGCATAGAAGATGGATTGAGCACCTGTGGCTAATTCCTCCCCCAGAGCCTCAGCCCAACAGAGTCATACAGGTGGAACTCCCTTCCTAGTTGGCCTGTGCAGCCCGCATCTGAGTAGTGCCCTTCAGGCCCTGCAGTGCCACCATGTACCATGGATTGCCATGGATGTGGCTGATGTTGACACAACAGAGGAAAGACGGAGCTAGGGTTGTCAGAGGAGGCTGGAATGGGCCTGGAAATCTGTACCAACTGCAAGGTTGACTTAATTTTTAACTTACTTAAGAATATGAAATTTCTCATCCATTCTTCTCCCTCTTTTTTCTTTCAGACTGTGGTCTCACTGCAGGTAAGTGAACTTCTACTTTTTCTTCCCACTGCCCAGGGTCTTTGTTCTGGAACCAGGGCATGGAGAATGCATAGACACTGGGGGTTGGGGGAGGCCAGAGCTACCTCCACACAGGTTCCTATCTGCTCTTCCTTCCTGCCAATAGTGTCCTATCAGCAAGGGGTCCTGTCTGCCACTGTCCTCTATGAGATTCTGCTGGGGAAGGCCACCCTGTATGCTGTGCTGGTCAGCGCCCTCGTGCTGATGGCCATGGTAAGGACTAGGATGGGATGGGGCAGGCAGGTTGGAGGTGACACATTATACTCAGCAACTCAGAGCCAGGAGTATAGAGACCCCACCGGGACTGGTGGTGGACAGTAGGAAGGAAGGAGGTTTTACCCAGACACCTTGGAAGACAACTTGTACCATGGTAGGAATTCAGTAAGAAGGCCATGTAGTAGGGCCATGCTGGGAAAGAGAAGTTGGGGGCCACCTTAAAACCCAATGGATACTGTGAGCAGCCCTACCATTTGTGTGGTCAATGGACCCTCCTTCTTCTCAATTCTCACCACTCCTGGCTCTTGGTAACCCTCAAAACCTTCTCTCCTGCAGGTCAAGAGAAAAGATTCCTGAAGGCAGCTCTGGAAGTGAAGCCAGGAGCTTCTAACCTGCTATGATGTCAATATGCATTCTGCTTTTGCCAGTGCTTCTGAAGAGTTGCCCTCTGTGCACTCCCCTATCTACCCATGCTCATGTACCCTGAATATTCATGGCTGAAATCTCCCTAACCCAGTGGGGACCCTAGTGCGCCTAAGTGACTTAACCAATAAAAATGTCCTGGTCTGGCATGACTCTGACTTGTGAGTGCCTAGATATCTCCTCTGCCTGCCTCTAAACTCTGTGACTCTCCCCATTTAGTCAGGATATCAACAAGAGGTATTCAAGGAAGTTCAGATCCTTCACATATGAGGGAAGAAGGGCCCACCTTATGATCAACAGGAGAATTTAATTCTATGTGAAAGGTAGTGGTGGGAGCTGAAGAAGTCATTCCCAGAACAGTCTATGAGCATAGGAATTTTTTGTGCTTGGCTGCACTATCCTTCCCAGGATGGAGGTGCTCTGAAGAAGAGCTGCTGTACACAGGTGTGTCCAACTGCCCATGTCCCCACGGCTAACAAAGATGAATTCCATATATACATCCACCTTCCTTTCAACTGTCTTACTGAACACGCTGCTCATCTTCATTTGTTCACCAAGTAAGTTTTCCAACTGAGAAGAAGAGAATGCTCTGACTTGGAAATTTATTTTCAGTGGAAGATATATCTTCTAGATAAAGTTACCAATCTGTTTATAGCTTTCTATTGGAATTAGATAGGTGAAAATATCCCCCACTCCTGAAAGGAATAAAAAGTAAAGTTCCCTAAAACTAAGTATCAAACCTATTTCTACCTCTAGAAGTCCCTCAAATATTTTCTGTTGGCACTGTTGTGGTGATGTAATCCCAAATCCTAAAGGTAGTACAGAAGATTCCTGATTGTCCCTTACCTCCTTATTCCACACTCTCCTCACTCCCTGCATCCCTGAACCCCCAAGCTTCTCCTTCCTGGCCATTGTGCGTATAGCATTCCTTCACCTGGGATGATGGAGCACTCTTCCTCCCCAAGTAACTCCTACTTAGCCTTAAAGATTTAACTCTAGTATCTTGCCTCCAGAAAGCCTTTTCTGGCTCTTTACTGACCCTTCCTTGCCTTTTACTCCTCTAAGTCTGGATTAAACAAACCTTTATCTTGCTATCACAGTACTTTTTGCATAAAGTCCTTCATGACACTTATTATTACACTTGATGAAAACTACTTGTCTGGACACCCCCATTTGATTGTGAACTCCTTGATAACAAGGATGTATTTATGATAGCATTTGTGGGCTATGGTATAATATCTTGGTTTAGTGTAGACATCCGATAGGTATTCTTAAATAAATGAGTGGGCCCAGAGTGACCTAACTCAAGAGCAGTCATCACCGTAAGAGTGCCTGAAATGGCCATTGCCTTTCCATTTATAGGACTACACCACACAGCCATCCCTCTTTATTGTAACACATACATGCATTCAAAGATGCGTGACATATTAACACGTGTGCACACACTCATCAACTCATTAAACACATATCATTGCAATGTGTTGTCACCGCCCTCCAAGAAAATAAGATACTCAAATCACAGTCCCCCAAAACTTACCTGTACGTAAGGGGAAGAAGTCATGAACAGAAAGAGCTGAAATACAAGGTGAGGCTTAGAAATAGCAATGTGAGCTGTCTACTAAAACGTAGTCAGAGGCTAGTGCTCGGTTTCTGACTGGGATACACAGGGAAGAGTCTGAGAAGATGGCAAACCTTTCAAAGGGAAAATTGATCTCAGTTGTTCAATCTAGAGAATGGTCATGTCAGTCAGAGGCATGAACAAAAGCCCAAACAACATGGTCAGGTACTTCTGGGTAAGTCAGTTTAGCAGGGTGCAAGCTTCAGAGATAGGATTAATCAAAATTAAGGCTGAAAAGGTAGGTGGGTGTACTATGCCACTCAGAATGGACTCTTATAGAGCCTACAGAAATGGTAGGTTCCACTAAATACTTGTGGAACAAATGAGGGATAAGGAGTTTGGACTTTGTTCAAGAAGCAATGGGGAATTATAGAGGTGTCTAGGCTGTCTGTCCTCCTGCCATTCCCTGATGTGCAAATTCTCCTGTTAGAGCTGCCCTTCCCCCTTGCTCCACCCACCTACCTCACTATAAATCCCAATCTGAGCAGGTGTGCACAGTGAGTCCCAGAGGGGAGTCCTAATGACATAGAAGGTCTCCTCAAGGGGATGCATGTTCCAAGGAGGGGCCTCTCTGCTCTTCCACCCACCACCACCAAGCCCCACCCCACTTTAAGTATACTGAGTTTGTTTTCAAGACCCACTCAATCAGACTAACCCCTGCCACCTGTGCTTTCTGTCTTTGCCAAGTTGCTGGGGGAGGGGAACTAGCTGGGAGGAAACATTTTTGTATCATGGTGTAACATTGTGGGGACTGGGGGGGGGGCACGATGATTCAGGTAGAGGAGGTGCTTTTACAAAAAGCCCTGCTGCCAAAAATATCCCCACCTAGCCCAGGAAATGCAGCTACCAGATAGGGAGAGGTCTCTAGAGCTGGTCTCTGTAACCATTTTGCAGAAGTTAGGCCCAGTGAATACCTGTGCATCTCTCTGTCTAGACCGAGCTTCCCAGAAATGAGAACACCAAGGCAGCAAAGTGGGATCGTCATTCAGCACTTTTCGTAAATCTTTCCCTTGACAAAGTACTTGCATTATTTATAAGAATTCACAAAAACCCTGAGGGAAAGACATCCCATTTTTCAGATGAAAAAGTTGAGGTCAGAAAGGATACAGGTCACATAGCCATTAAGAAGCAGGGTCTACCAGTTGGAGGCCCAAACTTCACCAGCATATAGACTACTTAGGTACCTAATTCTGACTTGTATCCCACATCTGTATAATAAAATAAAGTTATATATTAAACAAACAAACAATAAAAGAAGCAGGGTCTAGCCTGTAACACACAAATACAACCACCCCACTACCACCCAAACCCCTTCATATTTCAAGTCCACTGTATTTTCCCCAAGCCAGGTGAATTCTCTTCAGCATATTGGCAGTGACCTCATGCAAGGTCTAGATTACCCTGTCCAGTTGACTCTGGGGATCTGAAAAGACCAGAAAGGAGAGGAGTGTTTGTCGAGGGAAATGGTGGGGGGTGGGGGAGATGGAATTCTGGGCAGCGGATTCCCTCTGTGCAACTATGCAGAGCAGTACTTCGGGCCTGGGACCCGGCTCACTGTGCTAGGTAAGAAGGTGGCTCCAGGTGGGAGCAAGGGTGGGTTGCCCAGCCTGGAGGACCCCCTGATACCTTAGTGGAGTGGGCGCTGGGTCATCCAGGCCTTCCATCAGGGAAGGCAGGGTTTGCGCCGGGGTCCCCAGGGCTGTGCGAACACTGGGCAGTTATTCTTTGGAGGCGGCTCCAAGCTGACGGTGCTGGGTAAGGAGGCGACCGGGTCCGTGGCGCTCCGAGGGGCAGGATGGAGAGGAGGGCGGCTGCCCGGCTCCATCTGGGGCTGAGAGGCGATGCTGGGCACCTGGGCCGGGGACGAGGGCGATGGGGTGGGGGACTCAGAGGTGGTGGGGACCCGGGCCCGTGGGCAGCGCCGGTTTTTGTCGTGGGCCTGCGGGCTGTGAGCGGAGACACCCAGCATTTCGGGCCAGGCACCCGGCTGACGGTGCTCGGTAAGCGGGGGCGCCCCGGGGGCCGGGGAGCGGGGTGGGACGCCGGGGGGCACCGGCGTCTGTTTTTGTGCTGCGCCCAAGGGCTGTGAGCCAAAACACGCAGTACTTCGGCGCGGGCACCCGGCTGTCGGTGCTAGGTGAGCGGGGGTCGCCGGGGACAGGGCGCGCGGGTTTTTGTGCGGGGTTCGGAAGCCGTGGACCAAGAGACCCAGTACTTTGGCGCCGGCACCCGACTGTCAGTGCTAGGTGAGTGGGAGCCGCCGGGTACAGGGCGCGGGTTTTTGTGCGGGGCTCGGGAGCCGTAAGCCAACAGACTCAGTACTTCAGCGCGGGCACCCGGCTCCTGGTGCTCGGTGAGTGCGGGCCGGACGGGCGGGCCGGACGCGGGCGACCGGGCAGGGTTTTTGTGGGGAGGCCCCGGGCTGTGCTCTGCAGTCGAACAGACTTTCGGGGCCGGCAGCCGGCTGACCGTGCTGGGTGAGTTTCCGCGGGCTCGGGCGGCGGCGTTCGGGTGGAAAGCGGCGCGGTTCCCGGGCTGCTCGGCTCCGCACCCCTGGGTCTCCGGCCCCGCGCTGGCGCCCCGGACTAGGCCCTGGGGTGGGTAGGAGCAGGGGTTTGCGTGCAGGGCTGCGCCTCTGTGCTCCTACGAGCAGCATTTCGGGCCGGGCACCAGGCTCACGGTCACAGGTGAGTTGCGGGCGTCTCCCACTTTCCAGCCCCTCGGTCCCTGGGTGGGAGGCGGTGGACCCGAGCTGGGGGGAATCGACGATCCGGGTCAGCTCTGAGGCGTCGCCAAGGACTGGGGAGGGGGCCAGGGCGCTCAGGTTCCGGGAGCCCGCGCAGAGGGAGGTCGCTTTCCATCTCTTTTTTTCTGGGGTGTTTAGGGACTGGGTAACTGGTGGAGAAGGAGAGAGTTTGTTAGGACTCTGGGAACCGCTAGACTGGAGAACAGAAGCGAAAATCTGGTTTGGGAAATGGGTAAGAGCGAGTGTAACTGCGCTCAGAAGCAGAAAGAGAGGGATGGGCAGGTGCCCTCATGGCGGGCACCGCAGGCACAGCCAGGCAGGTGTCAGGGGCAGAAATCATTGAGACAAGGGTGGAGTTGAACAGAGAAGCAGCCAAAGGCTGCCAAACAAGAGTAGAACACAGAGATCAGAAAGACCTAAACGTGCGACTGTAAATAAAAGGAATAAAATTAACTGTTCAGCAGTATAGATTTAGAATTAGATTTTAAACCCTGCTCCTGAAAAGCATAACCCTGCCACGGGGATGCATTTATCCCCAGATGTGTACCCCCAACCTGAAATCCCCTTTATCACACTAAGTATTCTAGGTTAAACAGCCCAGGTGGTGCAGGGAGTTCACTTGCCACAAACACACAATAAAATGCAGATATTTTGCCTGTGAGGTGAGGAACATTTCCCGGAAGATTTTAGAGCTGGAAAGGGTCCTTCACCTGGTGATGAGAACCCTGGGGTCAGAGAAGGGAAGTATCTCACAAACTGGCATATTCACCTGGAGTATTTGATAACAGCACCCATGGCAACAAGAGGCTGCATGTGCCATTAAGCTGGATGCCCTGGAGCTCAGATACAGGGATGTGTGTCCAGAGGGAATTCCGAGTGCCCTTGGTCAGTTGGGGTGGTGAAAAGACTGAGACTGTAGAACCAGGTAAAGCTGGTTTCCAACCCCTGGTTCTTTAGTGATTGGGTGACCTTGGGCAAATTGATTATGTGGCCCTCAACTATAAAATATAACTGACAATACCTACCACTTACTATTGCTGTGAAGAGTGAAAGAGAAGCAACTTGTAGAGTAACCAGGTTCTTGTAATTCAGTGCTTCTCTTCCCCATCCTCCCCTAGGAGATCACTGAAGAGTGGGGGCAGGGGTGAGGGTGGTGGGATGGGTGGGGTACCCCATGCCAAAGAAAGGGCAGGACTGGATTGTGGAAATGGAGTGGAGGGCTGTGTCTGTGTGAGAGGTGTGTTGGAAACAGGAAAGTCAAACTTCACAATTTTGTGCCCTCACGGTAGGTACCACAGGCACAGCCAGGCATGTGTCAGGTGCAGAAATCATTGAGACAGGGTGCAGTTGAACAGAGAAGAAGCAAAGGCTAATTTTGCTAATTCAACCCACAAGCAGAGCACAAAGAGGCCCTGGCTATTACCCACACTTACACCCACATAGACAAGCCCCCCCATACACACACACCTCACAGGGACTCACAAACATGGGAGGTTAACGACGCCCTCATCATGGAGTTGTACAGGTAGTATGTTAGGGTGCAGTGAGGGTCTACTAGTGTTTATCATACTCATTGCATCAATAATTATCCTACAGAATAGCATCCATGGTCAAGGGATTAGTTTTTACAATAGGGACTTTGAATGTTTGCTGAGTGAGGGGATCAAAGGAGTGCATTCTATAGTGCCCCTGGAGAGTTGGTAGAATCCTAGAGTCAGTTTCTTTTAGATGAGAGTAAAAATAAACAGGATGAGAGCAGAAAGACTGATGGAACTCAGTACTGCAGATAGAAGATGAGATATCACCATCTCTGCCCCTGCTCAGCCAATAAAGACCTAGAAACATAGTAATACTTAGCAAGGAAGGCATTGAGGGGAGGGAAACTGGACATGATGGGAAGCAGGACCAATTACAAAATGTGCAGACCCAAATCAAAATGAAAGTGTGGGAGCTCTTATTTAAAAAAAAAGAAGAAGAAATTTAGAATTTCAAAATGGTGACCACAGAACATTAAACCAAGCACAGGGCCTTTCTAAGCATGTGTTCCTGTGAGACAGCCAAGGGCCCACACCCATAAAGCCAGTCCTGAATAAAGGTCACATCCACAGAAATGTGAAAAAGTGTCAGAGCAATTTTTTTCAAAGTTCAGGAGACTAGAGATGGGCTCTCCTGAGAGTTGTGTTTTTATATTTTAGAATTGCTTGGAAACAGACAAAAATCAATGGGCAGCAAAGAACAGGATAAAATGTGTGGAGGGCAGGCCCAGAAGAAGTGAGTCAGCCAGAAGAAAAGGGTTCTCAGGAATTCAGGGGATGCATTCACCTGTTGTCCCTAAGAATCTGCAAAGGAGATGCTTAGGATAAAAATCATATTGACACAAAAGTTGCTGTGATGATTTCAAATGCCTATTTAGGAAACTTGCTGGTAGGGAAAAGTATAACATTTGGAAGGAAAAGGACAAAGAAAGTTGAAGAATCCCTGAGTTTGCAGTAAGGGGAGACTACTATCTGCCTAAGCTAGGAAACTCAGGTGTACCTGGAGGCAGAAGATTAGATAAGATTTTTCTAGTGCCACAAAATCTCACAGTCTCATGAACACACTGTAACACAGAGGATGTTCCCACATGAGTGCACACAAACAGGCCACCTGTATATCTATAGGAAGCCTGTAGCCTCAAAATGTCTCCCTCATCCCAGATTCCCCTTTTCTTCCTTAGCACCTTAGACTCAGACACAAATCTCCTGGCTTAAGATGGGCTTTCTGAATCATTTAACTGTCACATCCTTTCTGGAAAGTCATTGCGGTGATTCTCACTTCATAAGAAGAAAAAATGATGGGGATAAAATGTTGTCTTAAAGTCTCATTGGTGGTCAAAGACAGTTCTAAGATTTGGATCTTGTTATTTTGATTTAACAAGATGCAATCAATCCATTGCTTCATTTACACTTCTATATAAAATGTTGAGAAGCAGGCAGGCAAGGTTTTATTGATGATTTTATTTCTTCAGTAAGATAAAGTCAATGAAGAGACATTGCCCAGAATGTTAGGCAGTGTCACAGTGCCACTCCTAATGCCACCTTAGGGGAATGGATAGACAGTGGACAGTACCTGTCCATTGGGTGAATACAAAGTTCAGGCAGGAAAGAGAGAGAACAATCAAAAGGGAATTGAATGGTAACCCCAAAGCAGTCAGGATCTCAGATGACATAATTTTCCTTATAACCCTTTCCCCAGACTCCTGTTTACACACACACACACACACACACACACACAGAGAAAGGGGGGGGGGAGAGAGACAGAGACAGAGAGAGAAAGTGAGACAGCCCCTACTAAGTCCAGACAAGTCTTAGAGCAGCCCTGGTCCCAACCCCTCTCTACTTTACAGAGGACCTGAGCATTGTGACCCCACCCAAGGTCGCTGTGTTTGAGCCATCCGAAGCAGAGATCTCCCGGACCCAAAAGGCCACACTGGTGTGCCTGGCCACAGGCTTCTATCCCGACCACGTGGAGCTGAGCTGGTGGGTGAACAGGAAGGAGGTGCACAGTGGGGTCAGCATAGACCCACAGCCCTCCAAAGAGCAGCCTGCCCTCAAGAACTCCACCTACTGCCTGAGCAGCCGCCTGAGGGTCTCTGCTGAATTCTGGCACAACCCCCGTAATCACTTCCGCTGCCAAGTCCAGTTCTACGGGCTCGAGGACAAAGACGAGTGGAAACTGGGTGGGAACAAACCCATCACCCAGAACGTCAGTGCTGAGACCTGGGGCAAAGCAGGTGAGTAGGACCTGGGAGGACCCTGGGAGGAGACTGAGTCAGACCCTCCACCAGAGGGAAATGGAAAGATACAGGTAGAAGACAAATCTGGATCCAGGAGAAAGGCAGAGTGGACAGGATGGGATGCTCAGGGCCCATAGTGTCAGTGCTTTCTCCTATAGAGCATAGAAGGTGGATTGAGCACTTGTGACTAATTCTTCCTTCAGATCCTCAGCCCCTTAGAGCTGTGCTGATACGATCACCTGAGGACCAGCTGAACAACTCAGCATTTCAGTGGTGCCTCCTTCCCCTTCACAAATCCTGGTTTTCTAAGATCATAATGATTACATCCCTGACACTGCAGTAGCACGAGGAAGACAGGATCAGGCCTGTTATAGGAGGCTGACTTTGTCCTGTCTGACATGCATGTGTTTGTGGCCTATGAGTCTATGACTTTTAAGTCTGTGATTCAGAGTCCTCAAGAAGTGACATTCTCTCATTCATTTTTCTTCTGTTTTCTTTCAGACTGTGGCTTCACCTCCAGTAAGTGAACCTCTCCTTTTTGTCTCCATCTTCCACCATCTCTGCTGTAGAATGAGGGCATGGATAATGGGTAACCCATAGACACTGAGGGTGGTGGGGGACAGCCAGAGCTACCTGCACACAGGTAACCTACTTGTTCTCCTTCCCAACCAACAGAGTCCTACCAGCAAGGCGTCTTGTCTGCCACCATCCTCTATGAGATCCTGCTGGGGAAGGCCACCCTGTATGCTGTGCTGGTCAGCGCCCTCGTGCTGATGGCCATGGTAGGAGGAGGGTGGGAAGGGGTAGATGATGGGGGGTGGGGTAGAACATCATACATGGGATGTAAGGGAATTTCAGAGCCAGACCTCAACCTGGTAGAGCCTGTCAACTCAGTGAAAGCACAATGAACTTCCAGACTGAGGAGAAAATGCAGGGAATGTTACAAAATACATCAGTGGGGAATGGGGAGAACAAGCCAGCTCTGCTCAAATCAGGCCCCAGAGTTGCCTCCTATGCCCTACTCCTGCTACAGCATGGCTCTTGGATGCTGACAGTGTCCTCTCTTCCCAGGTCAAGAAAAAGGATTCCTGAGGCCTGCTCCAAAAGTGCATCCTGATTTATTCTTCATTCTTACTCGGGATTTTCCTTGTACCTGCTCCAAGCTGTGTTCCTAAAGAGTGATCATCTCTACACCTCTCACCTCCTACCTACATGGATGTCTGCCCCTTCTCTCTGCTTCCCTGAAGTTTGAGTTCTCAATCCCCAAGCCTGAAATAGATTAAACAAATAAAAATGGCATGCTGGGCTTGCTTGTATTTCTGGAGTATCTGTGGAGTTTTGACCATCACTGACCTACTTTCTGATTTGAGGAGAGCAACATCTCCTCAGACATATGGAATCACTAGCCCTCTTCCTCTGCCCAATGCTGCTCTCTCTCAATCATCCTGATGAAGATTCCAAGCCCATGTCCACAAGCAAGCCTGCTGGATCCCCAGTGGAGGGTTAGCCTGAAGGACAATGGCTAAACTCTGGAAAACCTGGATGATGGAGACAGGGAGGAACACAGTGAACCGTAACTCCCTGCCCAGTGAGAAGAGAGGACAGGACAGACCTATGGGTTACAGTGCCAGATTTAAGTGTCATATGTATGCCTTTAGATGTTCTTGGTATCTGACCTTAATACATTCAGCTAATCTTATTTTGGGGATTTCAGCTTAAGATTTGACGCTACCCTGCACATCTGGATTGGAATCCTAGAGAAGGCACAGACTTGAGAAAACTGATAAGTGATTTCCCAGGAACAGGGCACACCAGGTCCCAGGTCGCCCTGGGGGAACAATGGAAAGCAGGGTCGAGTGGGGACAGAGGTGCCATGTGCAGAATAACACTTCCTGTGAACTCCTTTGCTTGGCAAATGGAGATCAGAGCACCCCAAATGCAGGGTGTTAAGTGCTCCCACTTAGGCAGAGACAGATATCTCATTAGGGTAAACTTTGCATGTAGGCTAAATTCAGTGAGGCAGAACATTTTACTAAGGGGAGGGGGAAATGGGAATAGAGGAAAGCAGGCCTAAAACAGTGAGAAAGGCCATGTTTAAGTCAGTTGAGGCCGACTGTCAGAGTGGAAAGTGAAGTCTAAAAGTGGAGAAAAGGTGGGAAGGATGAAAGACCCCCTGGCTGAAAGCCTGCCTGCTCCAAGCTGCAGACCGGACACTGGCACATGCGTTGTCCCACTGAGTCCTTCAATGATTCTAGAAGCACATATTATTTTCCCTGTTTTATAGATGTAGTGACTGTCATTCACAGGTCAAATGACTTGTAAGTGATTAAACTGTGTCATGTTCTCCTGAAGATGGCAGTTCTAGAAGCATTTCCCAAGTGGTGGCCAGGAGGGTGGAAATGTTCATGGGTGACAGCAGCTGCTCCCAAAGCCCAGGCAAGACCCACAGTAACACACCAGAGAGGATTTAATGCTTCCTTGTATTCATTTTCCAGGGTGGCTGTCACAAAGCACCACTAGGGGAAGAGGGGTATTAAAACAATAGACATTTATTCTTGAAGCTCTTGGCCAGAAATCCAAAACCAAGGTGTCAGCGGGCATGCTTTGTGACAGTTCTAGAGGAGAATTCTTTCTTGCCTCTTGCCATGTCTGGGGGGGTCCTTGGCTTAGGGTAGCATCACTCCAGTCCCTGCCCCATCTTTACATGACCTTTCCCCTAGGTTCCTACATCTAAATTGCCCTCACCTTTCTCTCTCTCTCTCTCTCTCTCTCTCTCTCTCTCTGTCTCTGTCTCTCTCTTACTCTCACTTTCTCCTTTTCTCTCTTTTTGAGTCAGAGTCTCACTCTGTCGTCCAGGCTGAAGTGCAGTAGCATGCTCATGGTCACTGCAGTCTCGACCTCCTGGGCTCAGGTAATCCTTCCACCTCAGCCTTTCAAGTAAGTAGCTGGAACTAGGTGCATGTCACCCTCTCCTCTCTCTTATCAAGATGTGAATCATTGGATTTAGGGCCCACCCTAAATCCAGAACAACTTTATCTAGAGATCTTAATCAATGACATCTGCAAAAACCCTTTTTTCCAAATAAAGTCACATTCTGAGGTTATAGGTGGGCATAAATTGGGGGAGAGGCATTATTCATCTCACTACACTATGTGTCCTGGAACTGGTCTCTAGAAGAGGCCTACACAGGCCTGGAAAGGATGAACCTCACACAGGGATAATCTAGGAACTCGTCATTGTCAGTCACTTCCATGAGTCATTCATTGTTGTTGTTGTTTACGTGTTGCTTTGTTTTTATAATGACTTTGTTTGAAAGCCTAAAAACAAAAGGGACAGGCTTTGGGCCCTAGACTGGCATTCACAAAGGATCCCTTCCACTCCTTAGACATGACTGGTGCCACAGGCATATCCTGATGGTGCCTCACAAAGGAGAGCTGAACAACTGAGGGGAAAAGGACGCATTTGAGAGAGAGCAGGGTGCTGTGGGGGCCCGAAGGCACACACTGGGATTGGGATGTTTGTGCAAGAAGAGCTGTGAGGGCCTGAGCAACTATATGGCAAGACCAGGGTAGTGATAGGGAGAGGGAAACACCTTGTATAAGAAAAATAGGTCTTGCAGGTTTGGTGACCATGATCTTGGGGATGCAGAAAGCAGAGGCATTAGGAGGTGGGAGGATGTGGGAGGAGCTGCTGGTTGGTACTCTAGAGTTTGTAAGCAAACAAGGCAAGGAACAAAGGAATCTCCTTTGGAGGATAATAGGCCATGTGCATTTCACCCTCTCAGTCTAAGGGACTCCACTGAGAAGGAGAGAACTAGAAGCTCCATCTTGTCCCCCCTCACCCAACACCCTACTTGACCCAGAGGGGATGTTCCTCTTATCAAGCCTTTACAGCCATTTCCTTGTCTCTCTCAAACAGCACCTCTCCCAAAATTCAACTTACAGGCACTGGGAATTCATCTCTTCTGCTTCTGCCTGCCTCTTTCTCTAGAATCAAACTGGACTCTTTTGGACCAATCCCTCAGCATCCTTTTCATTCTTCTTCGGGTTACACCGAGCAAAGATGAGCTACATGTATGTGATCATATCATTTATTGTACAAATTAAGATATCATTGAGAGTCAGAGGGGCCATTAGCAAGGATGTGATGCTGGGACAAAAGGAGTAAACCAGGAATGAACACACAGGAGCTCTGAGGCAGCTTTCAGGTATAGAGTCATTCCTGCAAAGGGAGGTACTAAAGAGATTCATCATTGATCTGGGTCTGTCAACTGGTTCTAACCTCAGGGCTGTTCTAAGCTTCATCCTATTAAGGAAATATGTGGGCAGAATGTAGAACAGGACAGGGGCAGTGGCAAACTCCACAAGTGATACCCAGTGATGGGACAAGGTGTGCTTACTGAATGAAGAGATTTACAAAAAAGCATCACTGGAAGAATGGTCCAGGTGCCCAAGTTCTCAGCGGACTCACCATGGGTAGCACTGAGAGGACCGTAATAAAGTATACCATAGACTTAGGTTAAGAGCATGCTATAACCCAATAAATATGTAATCAGCTTGTGGACAAAAGCACAGCCATTTTTAGTTTTCTGTCTTTGAACATAACCTGTAACTGTTTAAAGTTTCAGTTATGGAAAAAACTGCAAAGCTCTGGTTACAAGCTTCAACCCCTTCCCTTATCTCACTTTCCCCTTAGCAACAACCAGTCAAGTGCCAGGGGGTAATCACCTAAGTTTCCAAATGTCTCTGCAACTTCCCTAACTAGTGGGCCAAGGTCAGCCCGAGTCAGGCTAGCCAATCCTCCACGATTAAGCTGACCACCAGAGGTTACTACCCAATTAAATGGTAACACAACTGGAAAGCCCCCCCAAACTCCTCCTCCCTTTGTGTAAAAGCATAAAAGGCATCTGCTTAAGGAAATCAGGGCCTCTGAATGTACTCCACTGTGTCGGTTGTCGACAGAGGCCCAGGCTCGAGCTTGTAAATAAAGACCCTCTTGAACTTTCATCGGAATTGGCTCTTGGTGGTCTCTCGGATTGAACTTTCGGCCACTACAGCACTTCAAGAAAGGAACTTAATTTGTGACGTCTACAGATTGATTTGGCAATTAGGAGGTGGAAGAGAGCATCCAACTGCTCATGTAGTAATGGAACTTTCCAGAGAGAGGAATGGGATTCCTGCAGGAATACCAGAACTCAAGTCACTGTCACTAGCCTGGAAGAAAAAGTTTCCTACCAGTTCCTGTATACATAGAGCTTGTCCTACTACACAGCTCATTGCTGGGCTACTAATGTTGGGGAGCTGCTGGGACCATACAAGAGACAAAGGCTTTTTCACTCTTAAGGGAGTGATTAGGGAAGAGTAAGGGAGAGAAGAAAGAAAGGGGATGGTAGAACAAAAGAGTGGAGATAAAGGTAATAGATCCTAATAGATACTGATATCTCCATTTCCTTCTGAGTCATTTCCCCATTTTTCTTCAGTAGTGACCCAGAGAGGAGAGGAGTAGCCAGACTGACCTCAGCCCCTAACCATCACACAGCCCCAAATGTCCTAGATAGGAGAAACTTTGTCAAATCACTCTGGTTAAGGATGGATGTGGGAATAGAAGGCTGGTGCTGGTGCTTAGAGACCTCTGGAAGCTATATGTGAAAACAAAAACGTGTTTGTACCAAGATGTATTTTTATTTAGGGGTGTTGGGAGATGCTGACAGAAAGAGATCACGGGAATGGATAAAATCTACCAGTAAACTCATCTTTGCTGCTAACCTGGAAGAATCTGTCTTTTGCTCTCCTAGTGATTTCTTCTTATATTCTCATCACCAAGTTCACTCTCACCACATCAGTGGAAATTACCCTATGCCGTATAAGAAGACTCACAGTATAGAATGGCATAAAGCCTGGTCAACAATTTTAATTACAGTTCATTCCCATTGCTTGTGGCAAACTCCTGTCATTTCCAGAAAGGTGATTTCTAGGCCTTAGAATCCTATAATCTGAGACTTTGCCCACCCCATCTGAGCCTTGAACACAAGGCATTCCCTGTCCCAATCTAGGACTGAATATCCTCCCCTCCCTTCTGGAAGCCTTTCTTTTCTTGCTCTCTGTGTTTCTGGATTTGAAGTCTCTGGGTTCTGTAACACCACCCACCTCTCCTTAAGATTTATTGTGACAGTACTTGGTCTTACCCTGAATCATCTCCTTCCAACAGACAAGAGATTTTCCATTCACCATACCCCTCTCCTATAGTCCCAACTAGACGTCTTTCTCTGTTGTCTCTATCATGTTGCACATAGAATCCTAGGAGAGATCCTTGGGGAATATGGGATGCTACAGTTAACTGAATGGCATCTTTAGGTCAGCAGATAGGAGCTGAAAATGAACCCACAGTTGTGACAATTTCCAAAGAAGTTTCATCAGCTGCTCTGCAACTGATCTCAGCTGTCCTCTATGAGTATGAGGAGTAGTCTGGACAGGGAAATGCATTCCAGAGCTTCCTGTGGGTCCAGACCCCTAGCACATCCTGACTGAACTCACTGCTGATATAAGCAAGTGAGTTTTTAAATAGTAACCTGTGAGTAATTCTGGGTGCTACCTCTCCCACCCAAGTCATAGGCCATCCCAGCAATTTTGATATGATCCTCTGCAACCTCACTCTACAGTGGGACTGTTTTGATTAGATCTTGGAATCTCAGACACTTGGAGTGGTAAGGAAGCAAAATATCAGAGTCTCGCATTGCCCACAGGCATGCTTAAGCTGTTCTGGGACAAAGAATTCTCCACCTGTCTGAGTAGGACAGTTCACCACTGGGCAGCTCTATGAAGAAGTCTGTCTTATGTTAAGCAACCATAAATCTCAGGTAGCACTCCTCATTAATCATAGCCATACTGTGGCAGGATGCGGCAAATGGTCAAATATATTTCTTCTATGATTGAATGAATAAACAGAAACATGTAGCTGGTTCAGGATCAGCAGTTGGCCTCATGGCAATCACTAGCCCAGGGCAGGAAAGGAGTTGATAGCAGTTAAAGGTATTTCCTTTTGAAAGGCAAGTTGCAACTTTAAAGACCCGCCAGGGCGCCAGGCAGGTTTTGTTTGGGAAAGGCCAAATGGCCCAAAGACTAGCCATTTAATGGCTATGCAAAAAGAGTGGCTAATTCACAGACTAATCCAAAAACTCCCCTTCTGAAGTTGAAGGTTTACAACCCTGCAGTTCCTGGAGACCATTTGTTCTTTGAAAAATCTGATTTTGCTGAGTACAACTTGTAAGAGTCCAAAGGAAGTATGTAATCACTCAACATGACCCCCCTCCCTTACCTAAATGAGAGTATAAGACCCCACGTCTCCTGTTCTGGGGCCCTCGAGCTCGATTTGAATACATGAAATTCTCGGCCAGCTGTGCTAGCCAGCGTAATAAAGTGCCACTTCCTGTAATAGTCTCAGTGTCACGATCTCTCTATTTTTCCTGCTACAATACTTCTATTAGAGCCCTTTGTAAAACAGCTAGGAGCCCACCTTTAGGGAAAAAAAATTGTGCACATCTATGAGAGACAATAATTAGAACCTTTGCAAACTTGAGTTTGCAGAGTGGAAAAAGCATGTAGGAGGTAGATGAAAACATTATCATAGCAAACAATATAGACTTTAAAGCAAAGATATATGAGTTTAAGTCCTAGTTTTGCCATTTACCAACTATGCAACCTTGTTCAAATGACCACCTCTGAGATTTAGCTTTCCTTTCTGTAAAATGAGCTCAGTCACAACCCTGACTTCATAAGGCAGTTTCATCTTATTTAACCCAAACTGCAAATAAATCTCTTAGAACAGTACCAATAAATATTCATTTTTATTATAATTACTATTAGCCTTAAGTTTTTTTTTTTGTTTTGTTTTTTTTTTTTTGAGTTGGAGTCTCACTCTGTCGCCCAGACTGGAGTGCAGTGGACGCTCACGACCACCGCACTCTCGACCTGCTGGGCTCTGGCGATCCTTCCGCCTCAGCCTTCTGAGTAGCTGGAA